ACACCTGCTACCAATTCCCTCTCCAGCTCCAGTATAACCCAGTATAGCTTTGACACTTGCTGTGTCATTCAAGCTGCAGCCTCTTTGGTTCTGATCTTGTCCTTTTAGCAATAGCCTGGTTTGTTTCTCATGTTTGTGCTCTTTTGGACTTGGGTGCTCTTACCAGGTGCCCCACTGTCTTTCCCGGCAACACAAGCAAGTAAGACAAGCAAAATTAAGTGCGAGCAGAAAACAGTGCAAGACACGTAACCTACACTAAATTTATTTTTGTCATGGCTGAATACCTTAGTGTGACAATAAATTGAGTGATTGAATCAATGCATGGATCAACTGTTAATTTGTCTTCTTAAAACCTCATAAAGCATTCCAGATTCCCTAAACCTTGCTGCAAGAATTAGAAACTTCTGTCCTCGCCAAAGCAACCAAGCAAAAGACCTAAACAAATGCTGTTTGAAGGTGGAAGCTGCTTTGATTCCCCCCAGGGTATATTGTCTGACCACCATGTGTTTGTTTAGAGGAGAACAAGACTACTGAATCTTTCGACTCACCTCAGGCTCTCAAACACATTCCTCATAAGCAAGTCGGGATAGAAAATAATGTGGGTAATTTGTAATATCCCCATAAGTTGACAGCAGGAATCTTTGATTCAGATTGATCAAATTTCACAAAGGTTTGAGTCAATGCATAGCTGTTGAACCTCTTTTTGGACTGTGGTTCTTAAATATTAAATTCACCATTTTATCTGCCACCAAATAGTTTTTTTCCAACAAGTGAAGTGATGTAACCAAATCTAGACCAGGGGGAAGTGTGAGGCCATGAGTGAACTACGATGGCACCTGAAGTGCAAAACACAACGGCAAACGAAATTAAATTCTCACGTAAAGGGTAGGGCCTTATAGCAGAGGACAGACCCTTCTGATTGGACTATCTGCTATAAGGCCCTACAATTTCCGTAAGAAGTTAATTTCATTGTGCTTTCCTACTTGCCGTTGTGCGTTCCTATTTGCCAATGTGTTTTGCACTTCAGGGCCACCGTAGTAAACCACACAACCTGTCAATCAAATAGTAGCAGCGCACTAAAGCATAATTTACAAAATGACCATAATTTACAGAACGAAGAACATGCTGTATTGAAAAAAGAAAAAAGAGATTGAGACCATAAGCTCATGTTTACAGAGGTAAATAATCAAGTGAGAAGTACAATCATTTTCTCATAGACTTCTAATCAATTTGACTTATTTTACCAGGGGCGTCACTCCCTGATGGCACAGAGAACACAGGTTTAAACCATTTAGCCTATGCTATGTCCAAAATGGGGTTAATAGAATGCACAAATTTCAACAGTCATTCTTTTTAGTAATTTACTTTTTAGACTTTCACAACACCATCCAATATGGCTTGATGCAGTAAACCCAGTCTGTGCATCCTGCTGCTGTATTGGCCAGCGACACACTAGCCATGTCCCAATACAGTGGTATTATCCTCCAGAGGCTGCTCATCATCCGTCGACCGCATGCGCCACAGGCCGTCCCATTCCTTCGCCTCCTCCTCAACCTTGGAGTCTACTATTTGGAGGACAATTTAGTTCCAAATTATCGTAAAATGTTCTTCTCTCAGCTGGAAATATATCACACCCTAGGGGTGGAGCGTATCTTACTAAATTAAATAAGAAGAAGATTACCATCTCTATCAGCATTTTATATGTTTTTCAAGTTATAAAGCTTTCACGGTCCAGCGCAGCAGGTTGCTAGGCAACCAAGAGAGCGGAGGAAAAAGCTGGTGACACAAGCAGGAAGTCCCCCACAAACCAAACTGCTTGGTTCAGCCCATGCAGCCGTTGAAGGACCCAGCCCACATCGACCGCAAAGGATGCAGCCGCCAAAATGAAACCCAGCATCTCGACCTTTGACATCTCGCCCTCGGGAAGATGGAGTAACATCACAAGGTCACTGTTAGGCCAGCCAGCTGATCTGTCTGTGCCTTTCTTCCACTCCAAACCAACAGTGGTGAAGTAAAATCCTCTCAGCTGTGTATTTAGAAGCTTCTGAGCTCTGTGACCTTTAAAAAATGTAGGGGAAAACTGAGGTTTCCCAAAAGCTCATAAGCTTTTACCAGCTTTCAAAAGCAGCGATGAAACCCTCATATCAACAGGAAATAACTGTAAACTGTGTGATGCAATCATTGTCTTATTAAAGCCATAACCTCTCTTTCCCACTTCAAAACACCTACAAGCTATTTCTGTTTCTCCAGAAATATAACAACTCGCCCAATATTTATGGTTTATTGTCTGTATGTTATTCTTTGGGCTTTTTTTTCAGTTGAAGCGAGGCTGGATACTCCACCCAGCAAGTTCTTGTCAAAGATTCATATATGCACTGATGAGGTCACTGGCCAGAGATGAGAACGTCAGATTACAAAGCGTACCGACTTTGAACTCTCAGAATGGATGCTGGGATAATGCTTGAGAGGCAGAGGTTTTCACAGCAGCAGTCAGCGCCCTTGTGTGTGTGTGTGTGTGTGTGTGTGTGTGTGTGTGTGTGTGTGTGTGTTTGGTGCCAGCTGGGTGAAAGAGCATGATTGTCACACTCTCCCTGTGCCATCTGTGTTTGCTGTAGCCTTAGCCTTTGCTATAGCCTCCTTGCTCCACCGTGCTACAACGTTTTTTTTAATTTAAAAACAATAAAAGGCTCATGTCTGTTCAAAGCGACAAAACAATTTCCCCAACGCTGCGTACCGTAGCGCTTATCGCCGCTGCTAACGACCAACGCATCGGCCCTACAAATTATAATCAGTTCTTAGCAGAATGTATGTATCCAGAAGATGCAGAGCATCATTCATCTCCCGCCCACGTTGGAGGAGGCGAGGAGGAGGAGCGGGGAGTTGAGGTGATGGCCATTTTGTGGGCAAAATATGAAAATGTGACCATATAATATATGTAATCTATGTTGTCGTGTGAGGCACCTTTAAAAATAAACCTATTACATACATCCATGATTAAATCCTGTCCATTTGTATGATGACATATAATATAGCGTTTAGTGATTCATCTATTTATAAAGCCGGCAGTTTTCAACTGCAAAACTCAAACTCAGGATGGCAGACTTTTGGATTCTTGTGTTTTTATTGTGACTTTCTCATCTAGAGCCATGCAAGGAGAGGCGGATCACTTTTTGAACTCCTTCTGCGGAGCCTTGTGCTGGTTGTTCCTGGACATCAGGACTGGTTCAGGGCCTAAAGTTTTGCGGTCATTCAGAACTTTTTGTTTGCAAAGTTGTTACATTTTTGTAACGTGCAAAAAGCGTGCAATTACCTCTGTCTCAGAAAAAAAGTACCTCTGCTAACCCAAAGCATTCAAGCAACAAACTGCCTCCCTGCGTGGATACACACATGTCAATCAGGGGATGAATCTCTCCCCGCGGCTGTGCATGTGCACGTCACTGAGGCACAGGTGACTTTTGACTAACAGATACGGCACAGTATTACAGTGTTTCTTTGTGTGCCACATTCATTTATTTCCTAACGAGTAACATATAAACTAATATTTACACATCAGAACACTCCCAGGGGTTCCCCTGTATCCTGACAGAAACGAATAATTGTCCAGATAGACAAAGTAGTTCCAGAGTAATAACTTTTTATCGTGTGTATGCACTTTTCGGAGTCGAAGCCCAAAAAACAGGCCAGTCACCAACGGGCAGTTCAAGGACAAAGACTAGGGCAGCTAGAATTTTAGGTCAAGTTTAAGAAATAGATTTAAATGAAGGTTGAGTGTACTCACAGGTACAGAGATCCACGGTTGAGGGTGTGAGTCTGTATGTTGACATTATCGGCATAATAGCTGTTCCACAAACATCATATTATGGGCTTACACTCACTTGTATATGTAAAAGGTGAAAGGTCCATGATGGGATTCAGATTTTAAGACTCAAAGTAGAGTCACATGTCTAATCCCAATTGAAATGCCCTGCTGACTTCAGAAATACTTATTAATAATCCATTCATATATTCTCAGTTACACATAATATGATTGTACTGCATTCATTCTATTTCATTAAACCCATATTAAAGAAAACATCAACCACTATTAGCAACTCATATCCATTATTTCCCCCCATCCCTAGAACTCGAGAGTGCAAAACATCAGAGGGCAGCTGAAAGTATTTTTCTCCACCCCCATGACACAAAATTGCTCTGACTTTAATGGTGCATGCGAGGAGGAACTCGAGCGTTGTTGTCCAAAGGGCGCGTTCATCGGATAATGAGCCATTAGAGGAGCACCGACGTCTCGAATGAGAGCTGCTGCACAATTGTAATGGGGTTCCAACTGTCAAATAAGACATCCAAAAGCTTCAAAGAGCGGCCTGACTTTATTTTCAAAGTTTACTTTTCTGACTCAAACCAATAATTGCTGAGAGGTTGGAGGGGGCTGGGAGCAGGACGTGGGAAGGCCGTGGCCTGATTAGAGGCTATGTGAGGGGATTGAATTACAGTGTGAGCCCGACTAGCAGTGGACAATAAAACACAAAGTAGATTCTCCTTTTGTGTTGTTGTTGCTGTGCAATTCACTTGTGTGACGGTGGGCCTCAGATTGCAAATAAAAATATGAAATGAAACGGACTGATATGAATTATCGGTTCAATAATGAGTTTGTGGAAAACAGGTCCGAGGCAGGCAGAGGCAGAGAGAAAATCTTGATTATGATTTTTGACCTCTGCCCGTTCGTAGAAGTGACATGTTTGACAACTTCCAGACTGATGAGAGGAAATGTTGAAAAGCAACAGTGAATAATGGATGAAGAACCGCAGTAAAAACGTCTTGGCAGCCCCCTAACCTCCCATCAAGGCCTCGGATCTATGAACAAAACATTAAAATTCACTTTTGAGCACCAGATACATAGTTTTTTCAGCAGCAATGAATAAAGTTGAAGCAGTGGAACGCACAGTAAATCGCAAACGGGGGAATCTGGAGATATATCCAAATTAATCAAGGAGGCCAAGACGTCACATAAAAATGTTTTTATTGCATTTTTTTTTCTTTTACAGAATGAAAAACCTTTTCATTGATTCTGAATTAATCAGATATTAGTATATTAAACATTTTCAAACAGGAAAAAAAAGCACTCTGTCATCCCAGCAGAACCGTCATTACAGCGTTGACATCATTAACAAATGAGCGGTCGCTCCCCTGCAACCAGCAGGGCTTTTGCTTTGTAGCCGACTTAATATCGTGCATCGCCTCATGTGTGTTAGCTGCACTGCGGGAACACAATTCAAGTCGATCAGCGAGCCCGACCCGCCGCAGAGATCAATCAACTGTCGGCGTTTCTTGAATTCAGCCATTTAATGAGGTCAGCGTAATGACATCATTCAGGAGGAGGGGAAAAAAAAGCATCGGTCAGAGCTGAGCACCTCTTCCAGAGAACAGGAAATACGGGTCTAGTCCCAAATCAACACAAAACTTCAAATTTCAGTTTTTTTTTTTTGTTTAAACGTATGATTAGTAATTTAAAAAGAATCAGAGTTAGAAATAGAACCAAGAATCACAAAACTGTAATAAAAAATAAAAAGATTTTTAAAAAGTTCAGAGCAATACAATACAACTGCAAGTTGGCAGTAACCAGATGTGTTGGTTATTTCGGCATCCTAAAAATACAAAAACAATACAGCTGTGACACTTACTCGTGTAAACTGGTTCATGTGAAGGCCTTTTGCAAGCCTGCCCTCGAAAGGTTTCATCCACGCTCTAAGTAAGAGACGGCTGTTCCTTCTACGACCAAGTACAAATAAAAGCTTTCCCCTTATGAGCTGAGCGAGGCCGTCTACAAGCGTATCATCTCACATTTGTCCAAAATAAACAAAACAACATAAAACCTCTTCAATGCTACTCAGGATTTGATGTCCAGGATTTGAGATCCTGAAGAGGAGGCGCTCAGTAACGCACGAGTCCTCCAAGGAGCTACAGGAGACGTGTTTTCAAATATCCTAGACACAGATGGCAATATTTCCCTATGCAATTGTGAAGGATCAAGGTCAAAAGAAGAAAAAATATGTTACAGTGTCCCAGCCATGTCATTTATCGGTGCGGCACAGCGAGCTGTGGCGGGGAGGGGGGGATCGGTAGCAGCAGCAGCACCGTCAACACCGTCGCTACCTGGATGCATCGGGGATGAGTCTCTTAAACCAGCGGCCCACGGCCACGTCCACCCGCAGCACCAACGTGACCCCGATCAGCAGAGACGCGCTGCTCACCAGGAACCCCGAGGCCTCGAACATGAGCCTGCAAGCAGCACACAAAGGGCTGTGTAACTCCCTGATTTCTACTCAGCGTACTTCTAAAACCATGATGTTCTGCAAAGTCCCTACCTAAGATCAGTATGTATTTTTCCTTTTCACAATGTTTCAAAAAAATAGTTTAATTATAAGCCAGGTATTCAAGATTAGCAGGTGTAACTATGTACATCTCACAGTGGTCGCCTGCGGCTAAGGTGTTAGTGGTCCTTTGAGGCACTCACTTGGGCGCGAACACCTTCCACACCATTAGGTGTCTCCTGAGGATGGCAGCGGCACACACCGACGCAAAGACCTGAGGAAGTTACACAGGGGGAGGGGGTTGTGACACACTTGTGATAATGAAACAAAATGGAACGGGGCCGAGCGGACCGGAGGATGGCGTACCTGCGCTCCGAGGACGAAGAGGTAGCGCGTGGAGAGCTGCAGCAGCGCCGAGCTGAACTGCTGGGGGTTTTCCCTTAGCCTCATCTCCATCACGGCGTCCTCCCCCTCCTCGCTGCAGGCTGTTCCTGGCCGGCCCCCGCGCACCTCACACACCAGGGGCCAGAACAGCAGCAACGGGCATCCCACTGGCGACAAAGAGATGAGAATCAACAGTTTTGTCTCCTGCAGCGAGTCAACAGCTCTATCAGAAGGCAACATTATTTCATTCGATTCCTTTTTAACTTTCTCATAGATTTTTCATACTGTATATATTTCATTGTTTAAATACATTCATTATTTAATGATGAAAAAGTAAAAAATATGCATTAGCCTTGCTATTCACCATGTATTTACTTTAATTCTTTTATAACAAATTGCTGTTTTGGGGGAATTTGTGTGTTCCAACTGCTTTTAGGACTGCTCTGAGAACACTGTATTGTATTGCATTTTAAATCATGTTATCTTATTTATTCTAAATATTCTTTAATCTTCTTGGGTAATCTTTGTTCAATCTTATTACTTTTACAGATGCTACAGGAGAATCCCTCTAAATCATCATTAAACGAACACTTTCGTTGCCTCTTATCTTTAAATATATCTACCAGAGAAAAGGATGTGTGAGGCAAAAGTGTTGAGGGTGACCAGGGAGGCGGGCAGCACGGTGCCTGTGTGTCCCTCGGGGAATCCCACGAAGGCGGCGCCCCACTGGATGGAGGGGAAGGTGGGGAGGTGACCCGTGGCGTGGAAGAACTGGGTGGCAGCGAGCGACCACAGCACCACTGGAGTCCAGGGCACATTAAAGCAACCTGGAATGGGGGGGGGGGGGGTCAGATCAGAGGGAGGACGTGTGATGGTGTACAAACAGAGCACCAAACGGGAAAACAAGAAGAGCATCTCACCGGAACCCGCCCCGTGCAGGCCGCTGAGCGTGGTGGAGGAGGCGTGGATGTGCAGCACCGCCCCCATCTGCAGCAGCAGCAGGAGGAAGGACAGAGCCATGCCCTCCGGGTGCAGCAGCAGGAGTCCCATCCCCAGCAGGCCACAGAAGAGCACCAAAGGGGCCGAGTAGACCGTCCCCAGCCCGTAGGCCTCCACAGCGGGCCTGCCGTCCGCCTCACTGCCCGCGCTCAGCTCTCCGTCGTCGTCGAGGGAGCGACGCATGCGCTGGTAGATCTGCGGGATGAGATGGTGCAGCTCGGCTTGGGGGCTGATGGCCGTGCTAGCCCGGTAGCGCGGCGGCACCGAAGGACCTCGGGCCGAGGCCTGCACCTTGGTCTTTGCGTACACAGTGAGGGGGTCGAGCCAGATCAGAGCCAGACCCAAACCCAGGAGGCAAAAGGCCGCCCTGGGGAGGGCCAGCTGGGCCATGGCGATCAGCTCGGCCAGATTCCTGAAGCTGTCCTCCGGGGTGGCGCTGACGGCCCAGTACAACGCCAGGCACACAGATAGCAGCAGGAGGACCCAGCGAGCCGCGAACACCGCCCCGCTTGCCGAGTTGAGGTTGCCGTAATGCCGGAGGCAGCGGCGCAGCAAATATGTCCACAGGGCCAGGGCGAAGACGGAGAGGACGTAGTGGAGGTTCTTCAGCCGGCTGTCCTGCAGCCGCGAGAGTGGAGAGAGGAACGGAGATGGCTGGCAGGAGCCCTGCTCCTCCCGGCAGGCGTGGAAGGAGAGGGAGAGGTACAGGCTGCCGACGAGGAGCCCCAGGCAGGCGAGGAGGGTGCCACTTTCCTTCCTCACCGTTGACGGGGACAGGGCGGGGGGCGGCAGGATCCCTGCCGCCTTCAGGGAGTCGTGGCTGGGGGGCAGGAGCAGACCGTCCCAGTTGAGACGGATGGGAATATAGAGGGCCAGGGAGAGCACCAGGAAGGTCACGGCGCGGCCCTCGGCGATCACGTAGCTGTCCGAGAGCAGGGAGGCGCAGCGGAGAAGCGGCACCAGGACCGGGGGGGCAAGGAGGCGCCGCGGAGTCAGCCAGCCGGACGTGGGGCCGATCTTTTCCGCACCGGCAATCCCCGATCGGCGAGCCCTCCAGAGGAAGAGCAGCTCCGAGCTGAGGGCGGCGGCGGCCAGACACCACGCGACCTCCACGTAGCCCCGCGCGCTCAGCTGACCAGCGGCCACGCACCCCCCCGTCATCAGTGCCGCGGCAACTGGGGCCCGCAGTCCGGTGCCGTCCTCCCTGATCAGTTCGAAGGAAAGCTCGGACAGGACGAAACACGTCAGGCAGGCAAACGCCAAAATGGCTAGGCCCGCCGCCATCTTGAGCGGGTTGAAACGAGCCCAGGTGGCTCGGCAGGTGTCCCTCACAGATGTGAGGTAGGCCTGCAGCGAGGCGGCCAGCTGTGGGGAGGGGGGCCGACCCCGTCGAACCGTGGCGAGGTACTCCGAGGAGAGGCGGGAGAAGTCGGCCTTCAGCCGAGAGAGGCTCTCAGGTGGGATGTCTTTGGCCATGCCAGAGTACGTCTCCAGGAAACGGTTGACCTTCAGACGACAGAACCGTCACAAAAGTAATGACACACTCACATCATTTTTTCCGGACGGTTTTTAACTGAGCTTTCTACCTGTTTCGCATTGATCCACAGCGCCTCCAGCTGGCTGAGACCTCCAACTGCGCCCTTTGTCTGACCGTGGGGAGGGAACACGGGCAGGAGAACCTGCCCCACGCTGCTGTATGGGATGGGAACCCCCAGGAGCAGAGCCAGGGTGGGGACCAGGTCCGTCTGGGGCACCACGTCCGGTTCACTCTACAGACAGGAGGAAGATAAAAAGATGACTATTGTGATTTGAAGGTTTGCTCTTATATTACAATGTGTCCGTATTGTGACAAGAAGTAGTAAATAAGCCCCCAGTAAGTCTTATTTGCAAAAAAAAAGTATTCTTGAGGAATAAAACCCTAATAACTGCAGGACATCACCTGGTCTGCTATGACTAGCAGCTCATGGGGGCTAGTAGAAGCAAACTGTAGACGGACGTGCTGTGTACACTGAGTCTAGAAAAAAAAAATATGATTGGGCTCTTCATATCAGAAACTCATTTGAGAGAATCTTGGGAAACTCATGCCTCATCTTTCATTTACCAACTGTGACCACATGGTGGAGCTGTTCAGCTAAAGTTACTAAGCATTGGCAAAGCTGCCTCTGCTGCTGCTTGGGACCAAGCCAAAAATCGAAAAAATTAATTTTTAGCGTCAGACTTCTTTTCCAGTGGCGGTTGGAGAGTAATTTTTGTTCATACATTGCGTGAGAAATGTTGTAATTACCACATTTTTTTTGTTGTGTAAACGTTTCACAGCAGTGTTTTCCCCTACGTTTACAACTTCAGAGAGGGGGTAAACGGTTCAGCCGACCGGGGGAAGGGCGTAGTCACTCTGGTGTTGCGAGCGCCACAGTGTAGAACTGTCGTCGTTGTTTTTTTATTTTTATTTTTTTTAATTGCAGTGTTCTTCTCTCACACTGAATTACCAGCTACTTAACCAATTACCGCATTTACGCTTTTGCGTGACGACTTGGTCATTATTAGTTTAGACTTTGCAGGACTGGTTATGATCCCTTTGTATGTAGCTTAGGTTTAAATTAATTAACGTTAAATTGATGTCCTCCCAATGGCACAAAAGTATTTTCTAAGACGGAGCTCTTCTCATCGAGTCCTCTGCCACAAAACAAAATTTCCCAGAGTATGTCCCATGTCCACCACGTTCAGACCAACTGAGAAGACTTCCTACTCTGCCACCGACCTCGCTCGGCGCTGCAGGGAACAGAGGCGAGGGGCTGTAGAGGAAGATAGCGGCGTCCGTCTCCTTCTGACTCTCCCCGCCGTGGTCTCCGGTGTCGGTCATGCCGTGGTCCCCCATCACCACCAGCAGCGTGTCATTCTGCAGGCGGTCCATCACAGACCTGCAGGGGGAAAAGCATGAAGATCAGAGGAAAATAATGGTCCTGCATTAAAACCTCATGTCTCTGCAGCAGTTGATTAATAACTATCCAACTCAGCGTGTTACAATAACAGTGTTGCTAAGCATGCTATGCTTTCCAGGTGAAGGGTATGCTGGGAAAAAAACTCTTGCGGTCTGACCTGATGACGCCGTTCATCTGGGTGAGCTTGTCGGCCATGGCCGGGTGGTCGGGACCGAACCGGTGACCGCAGTGGTCCACGCCGAGGAAATGGGCAACTAGGATGTCCCAATCGTCGCTGACCACTGTCCAACAGAAGAATAAAGGAGAAGGGACAGAGGGAGAGACGTGAGGCACGAGCAGAGATCGGGGACGGCGCACAGGTGCGGGCGTGAACACGTACTGGTAGTGTAGAGGTGCTGGAGGATGCCGTTGTCCACCGTGTGCAGGTCCTTGACATTGAAGGAAGGGAAGGGCAGCGAGCGGTGGAACTTCTTCGGAAAAAGGTTCTCCCAAGTGTCATCGCCCATGAACACCACCCGTTTGCCTGTGAAAAGAAGAAAAACAACGTCATCATCACTCTGATGAAAGGGGTTGGACTCGTACAAAGTGTGGAACTGAAATAACAGAATCTACAGTGATTATTTGTCATTGTATAATCTTTACCGGCAGATTCTGCTCATCCGGCTGTTTTAAAAAAAATATAAACAATCACAAAGAGAAGAAAAGCTGCCTTTAACAGTTTCACCAACGGTTCATGTGGCTTTTGTTTGTTTTATCTCCATGTTTTCATCAGTTTGTTTCAGTCTCGTGTATTCTCTTTGTTGCAAAGCACTTGAACTAAACGTCCTGTACAAAAAGGTGTTTTATGAATACAACAAAATAAAGAGGGTATTCTTTATTTTCCCACTGTATATATCATGAAACCATGGAAATCCATCCTTTCTTATTATGCTCCTTGATGATGACTATGTGGATCTACTGTGGAGCCACTCACCCACTTGCCCGAACTGGTGGATGAGGTTGTCCTCCAGAATGGCACTGGACGCGAAGTTGTTGCCCACGTCCACGAAGGTGGGCAGGGAGCCGGTGGTGAAGCCCTTGATCCTCTGCATGGTGGTCGTAGGCGGATCCGCGCGGAACGGGTAAAGGCGGCTGTGCGCGGGCCTGGAGGACACAGTCTCCTCCAGCACCGGCAGCTTGTTCTCGTAGGGTCGAGGCGCGGCGTTGTGCGGATCGAACCAGGTGAAATCGATCTTGAGGGCGTCGACGATGAGGAGGACAGCCCGGCGGAAACGCGGCTGCACGCGGCAGAAGTCCGCCGGCTCCTCCCCGGGCTGCAACACGTCTCCGCAGGTGCTGGTGCGGTTCACCTCAAGCCTCACCAGCAGGAACCCGCCGACGAACAGGTAGATGCCCGCGGAGTACAGCGCGCACACCCAGAGGAGTAGCCACAGCACCGGGAGCCTCTTCATGCTACCCGGACGGGCCAAAAGTGCAGGTTAAAAAATAAAAAGAATACCTCAAGCACACTTGTTTCACACAGGGTAAAGAACAGTCAAATAACCCATGCGGCCGCGGAAGTTATGTGGTAATTATGACCACTTTGAGCCAAACGCGAGGCAAGCGCCGTTAAGACATTAACGGTGGTGCGAACCAGCTAACGTTAACGTTAAGAGGGGGCACGGTGGACAAGTTAACGGCTGTTACCCGCGGCTAGCTTGTCTCGCTCTCGTCACTGACCTTGTAGCAGTCGGGTCTTCGTCCTGTCGCGGCCGTAGGGAGGCGGGGTGTGTGTGTGCTAACAACACCGGGGCCCAGGTGTCTCAGGTACACGGCCAACAGCGCGACCCCTCCCTCACCTTCATATGGGACTCCTGTCCGATGAGGTTAGGTGGATGGTGACAGCTAGGAACTGCAGCGCGCATGCAACCCGGCGGAAATACGGAGCGGGCGGCTTTCGGTGTAACACCAAATTATTTGGAATGTTGGTGCCCTGAACTCGGGCTAACAGACACAACGTTGTCATGGATACGTTGTGTCTCATGAAACGTTTTCTAAGTTCAAATTGTTAAATGTTGGTTAAATAACTAATTGGTGGTATCGATGTATAACTCAATATGAAGCCTAAATTAGACGACAGGCTTCCATACCGCCTGTGATGCAAAGACGAGGGCTGTAATAACCCGTATAGGGCGAAAACAAGCTGATATGTCACGCTGTCATTGGTTTTTTAAAAAAATTTTTATAGTATCTGGCACCCTGAGACCGGTTGTTGAAGAACGCATTATAAATAACCCTGCACGTTTGGGGATGAAATACAAATTGCATTTAGTACTTGTAGGACTAAACACTGGAAATCCGTTTTAGTTTAAGGTGTAATGGTATTAGAGAATACACGTATTCAACACCATTTCTTCCATACTTCCACAGATGTGAGAGGGAATTGCTCTATACATTTGTTGACACATAGAAGTCATCACCTTTTTTGTTATTCTTAAGTTAACTGAAACTAAACACAGACTGAAAATGACATAGGTCAACTTAACTTTAACATCCATTGGTCTTTCTTCGACAAAAGTAGGTTTTTATTTGAGAATGTCCAGCTGTTTCTGATTAATTGTTCTACACTACTTCCTCCAACATCATTTTCAGCATTTCACAGCATCCTATTCCACTGCGTCAGAAAAATAGCCAAACACTCTTAGCTTCATGATAACCCCAAAGTGCATACACCAGCCAATTTATGTTTGTCAACCTGTGAGCACTGCTGAAAATCTTGCTGTCTTTGTACAGTCATGACATTTAATAAATATTTTTGCATAAGACACAGGAGTTGAAAACAAATGTGAGGAGTAAAGGAACATTTTTCCCCTACAACCCCCTTCCACACCAGAAAGTTATCTAGAAAAAAAAGGTTGAATAATATTAGAAAATAACCTTTCTTAAAACTACATTATCAGGGAGATTTCCAATCGAACATAAACCAGATTGTGAATGAACTAAACTTTGGGTCCCTCGCCGCCATCATCAAGAAGCATCCAGACATCAAACGTGGCAACTGAAACGGAAGAATTGTCCCTGGGGGGGTTTCAGTAAGGTTTTTTTTTTCAGCTTGATCACTGGATGCCACTAAAAACCTGCACACTGCTCCTTTAAAGTTTAATCCTTTAGGTCCAATTCAACCAGGGTCTGCTCAACAATACCTTTACAGATTGCATGCACGATGCAATTCCCACGCAAGTAATGTGTTATAATAAATCATATTTTCTAGCATTTCATTTCTCCATTTTCAGTCAGCCTGCCAGTGTCATTGGGGTGTGAGTATATGGATGAAAACTGAGCATGAACAGTCAATGACAATTAAAACTCCGTTTTCAAAAGATATTGTTTTTCCCAACACTCCCAAAAGTTTTTGAAGTTGGCAGTTTGTTCTCCTTCTGTCCTGTCTGTAGAAGGTATGTGGGACTTTACCACAATCTCTCACACACAGCGACGTCTTGAAGCTGTAGATTGCTTCTTCTGCTGCTGCTTCAGTGTCTTCCTACTGTGTGGAGTCATTAACCGAGTCCTCTGCTACGGAGACGATGGGCACCGAAAGTTGTCGCTCTTCTCCTCCAACACCGCCACTGCTGCTTTCGGGCTTGACTTGGCCAACGTGCCGTAAATGGTCATGGCCTGTGTGCAGGGAGAGAGAACTCAAGAAGCTACTCATAGATTCAAGAAAAAATCTAAACAAACATTAACACAAATCCAAATGCACATGTGCAAATACCTGTGTGACCATTCCGCTGATGTCCCCGGCGCTCGACGGCAGCAGGATGGTGTTGGACTCTTTGGCGAGGTTGGAGAAGGCGGATACGTACTGCTCGGCCACGCTCAGCGAGGCTGCTGCTCCTCCATTCTGTATGTGGCATGATAACAAAAAGAAATCCATCAAAATTCAATGAATGAGACAGACTATGGATGTGTCACGAGAACAAAAAAAATCCTCTTTACCTGCTCGGTCAGAGCATCCGACAGCATGCCGATAGCCTTGGCTTTGGCCTCCGCTTTGGCCAGGATGGCCTGGGCCTCACCTTGAGGGAACACAGTAATCGGTTAGTGATGTTGTGATGTCTTGGTAACTGATTCAAGTACTTTTATTATCTTTGTGTCATGGACTTAAAACGTCAAAGAAGCGTCGTTAAAAAAACAACAACGCTGACACGACTGAACCGGGTCCTGTGAGTGCACACACCGGACGCCTTGTTGATCTGCTCCGCTTTCTGGCCCTCCGAGGCCAGGATCTGGGCTTGTTTGCGACCCTCGGCGACATTGATGGCCGCCTCCCTCGTACCTTCGGACTCTAGCACCGTGGCTCTCTTCTTCCGCTCGGCCTCCACCTACACAGGACAAAATAAAGGATAGCAAATATCACCGTAAGTGTAGAAGTCCATTTGGAGAAAAACATTTAGTAGGTCTTAATACATGTTGTGTTGAATGCAGTGTGCCAAAAAATACCAGCATATCCAACTGCATTGGGTCATATTTGGCAATATGCAAGCTAGCATGCTTTATTTGGCCTTTCCGACCCACAATGCTCAGAGTATGAGCAAAGGGCCAAAGTTCAAGGTGTAGTAGTGCGTCCAGATTGAATGCATACTACTACATACAACAGTATTACTTTGCGACACTAGAAGAGTGAAAAGTATATAATGTCTGAAGCAGGAATGAGGAAGGATGAGGAGACTTTGTTGTTCCGTTGTGTTCGCCCCACCTGCATCTGCATGGACTCTTTGACACGAGGCGGAACATGGATGTCCTTGATCTCATAACGGAGGCAGCGGATTCCCCACTCGTCCGACGCTTGGTTGATGGAATGGACGATGTTGGAATTGAGGCACTCCCTTTCCTTTAAAAAAATAATTAAGAATAATAATTGCAAAAGGTCCATATCCAAAGTGCTTCTGACATTTTTCATAACAAGCCTGCAGAGTAATGCAGCAGCGTTGTTACCCGGAACACTTTGTCCAGTGTGAGTTTGCCCAGCTCCGACCGCATGGTGGTCTGCGCCAACTGCGTGACGGCATACTCTGGATCCTCCACGCCGTAACTAGCCTGGGGGCGCACACGGAGAACGCTGAATTCTATGATCGGACTACAACAAAGCGTGGGAGAGGCAGAGAATTGTTCCAGCGTGGCGTACCTTGAAAGGGTCGAGGATCCTCAAGTAAAGAACTCCGTCTATCTGTAGCGTGACATTATCTGAAAAACAAAACAAAAACAAGATGCACTGAAACTAAGTGCTTGCATATTACATCAGGTAACACTTGGAATTGGATCCGACATGTTGATCCATCACCTAGAGATACGGCAGACTGCTCCGGGACATCGATGACTATCTCTTTGAGACTTTGCACGTAGCGAATTCGGTCAAGTATAGGTATGAGGAAGTTTAAACCCTAAAAGAGAAAGTTGTCATGTTTTTTTTATTTCCATTGTTAATATTTGGCTATATTTGGCGGTCTTGTAAGACAAAAGGGTAGATACCGGCTCTAAGATCCGGTGGAAGCGACCCATTCTTTCCACCACCCAGGCTTCTTGCTGAGGCACAAACAGGACCACGGTGTTCACAGGCAGGCTGGACGCCCATCTCTGCTGGGCCGGCAGGACCCATAACCTCGGGGTCGCCCGCTGGGTTTGCTAAAAACACACACACAGTTAAGAACCGAACATGCTTTTAAAAGCACGCTATTGTACCAAAGTAGGATCTAAATGGAATTGAAAAGGAAGGGAGAAACTTAAACCGGTCTATAAATTATGTATGAGTTATTAAGAGTATGTAGTGGGACACACAATACTCTTAGGGGTAGGCAATACAATATATTAGACTTATATTTGGTTTCTGCTCACTTCGTATTTGGTTTTGATGATAGTATATAACGGTAACTTTGATTTCGACGTAACATTAAATGGTTATGTATAGGCTAACACTGTAAAAGTATTATAACACAATAGTAAATGGCCCATCTAGTGTTAATAAAAAGGATGTCAGTCAGTCAAAAGACGTATCGAGATGGGGAGCCACATTCGGTGGATTTGCGACCCTCTCGTGCACGCTGAATGAGCCCCACTTCACCAACGAATGGCCATGAACCTTCGCTTGCACGAGCTAACATGCCGGATATGAATACATTAGTTAATTTACCCGCAGAAGGGCGCCACTGGTCCGAGACAGCGTTCGCAACATCATTGAAAGGAACTTCGGTGGCCTTAGTAAAGGTTCGGCTCCGTAAAGTGGACTCTACACAAACTACTCATGTGTATGACCCTCGCCAGGCAGGAAATGGAAGTTACATCAGTGGTGCAACTGTAAAAGAAGTCCCTCAGTGTGAGTTGCAAAAACCGAACGGCGAAGCTTCCGCTTGCAGGATATATGTAATCTACAGCTAATTCCACCACTACGACAACCACTATTATTACAACCACTACTACTGTTGATAATAATAATAATAAAAATTAATAATTAATTAATAATAATGATGATATAAATAATAATGAAAATAACCACAATAATTATCAAATCGATGCCGCAGCATTTAAAGAGTATTATGAAACTTTTTATAATGTTTTTATTTTATTAATGAATACAACCAATTTTTAAGCCACAAAAAAGTAAAAAATAACCAATGGAAGCCATCTCTAAACATAGCGTCACCTGTTTCTTATTTCAACCTCATCCCTCTTAGCGATTGGTCTGATTTCTGCTGTTCCGAAGGACTCCGCCCTCGAGCGTAATGCTGCATTCTCATTGGACATGGCGGACGCCGGTAACAGGTGCCTCTGCCCCGCCTCTCCGCTCTCCTCCGTTCCCTCAGGTTGTTCGTCGGTCGGTAAAACCTCTGATAAGAGTTTTAATAATGGCGTGGCCTCGGCGGGGGGCTGCCGCTCTCTGCCCGAGTCCAGCACCATAAAAAACCGTGTAGAACATCATTTCGGAGCTTACAGGCGGTTTGAAAAGTCACTTAACCGCGTCACAACGATGCCGGACGGAGTAAATCTCCGCTGAAAAGTGAGTGAAACTACCGGAGCGTCTCTGGAGAAGCGCGGAGACATGTCGCTGCTGTGTGTCAGAGGTACGTTCAACTTGTCTTCTCTCTCCCTCCGGTCGAGTCCAAGTGTTTCTTTTTTTATTCAAACTGATAATATCAATGAAATCTTGTAGAGCAGGTTTCCTACCAAGAGTCCACTCCCTCTCCCCCGCTAGTATTCTAAATATGTCCTGTCGTGATTTAAGTTACATTTTCTAATATTCTCTTCACGTGGATAATGACAGCACTTGTCACGTGGCTGTTTCCCCGAGTTATCTGAGTTTTATCGGAGCTTTCCACTGGCTGCCGCACCAGCTGTTCAGCCATGATCCGTGCTGGATTGACTTTAAAGTACAACACAGCATTTATGATCAGTGTCGGACTTTAAAATAAGAGTCAGGGATCAGGAGAAAAAACTATCTGATAAAGTGATTGCGAAGGGTTATGTTTATTTTTTAAATAACCAGCAGATACTAAAAACAAAAAAAATCCCAAATGCTTCTTTTATCATCTTCCCTGTTGTCTTGGTGCAGATGTCTGCCCTCTCTCCAATATAAGTGGACTCAATGACAAAAGGCTTGTTTTGCTCAAAGCACCATCAAGAAGTCATCACCAGATTTTTTAAGATCATTCATAAACCTTGCAGTGAGCGGTTTCAGGGCTCCTACTTTTGGAGTGGAACAGTCCCTCTTTAAAATGATGTGTACAGCAACGACAAAAGAAGTATGGTTTGGTGTATACCTTTTTGTTGGATATTTTATCTTCTCCGACAAAGATGTTAACGTTAAACATATGATACGATTAAAAGCAGTTGCGGGGTACAGTCATTTAGCTGACGCTTTTATCCAAAGCGACTTACATTGCATTTTTAACCCATGGCTTTTTTACATCAGTCCGGTGGAAGTTAGCTTTTATTATTCCATTGCAGAGAAAAATAAAACAAACAAAATATACTATACTTTTCTTTAGGGATCCAAATGATGATAATAACAACAAAACCAATTACTTTTTTGTCTATTCAAAACAAGCTCTGTGAACATTTACATGTTCACGGGCAATAACAAAAAGACTGAAGCCAACAAGGCTGGGGCCGGTTAACGCATCGTTTAGTGCAGCAACGCACATAATGCATCTTCCTGTTCTGTGCCAAGAAGACCAATGGCCAGTCTTTGTCCAGTCTGTGAGGATGGAGCCCCTACCTGCCAATCAAGTATCTCATTCATTTCATATAGAGTTCGGCACAAAGTGTTGTTTTATTTGGTTTGAAAAAATGGCCTAAATAAGGATAACGCTTCATCTTATTTTTCTTCTCTGTAAATGTTTCTTTTAAACTATTATAAATAAAACATCATATTGACATTGTTATAAATCATGGTGTTTTAACATCGAGAAGAGTGCAGCAGATCAAACCCTAATTACACTGCACCAAGACCGTTTGGGGGGGTCTTACCATTTGATCCGTCCATTGACAGGGCGCTTTTTAAAATGTGGATTGGTGACTAGCGAGCTTTAACTCACACAGGTTTCTTTATTCGTTTCCAACATAATTATGTCAAGATAAGTACGTAAAAAGTGTTGGCCACTTCCTCTCAAAAGAATCCCCAAGCCCTTTTGACAAAGTATTAGGAGGTGAACTCGTTGCTGAATTCTAAAAAAGAGACAGCTTTCCAGTGAATTTAACGGCACATATAGGCTGGTTCTTATGAACTATACAAATATCCACCCAATATCCTCTGAAGAGCCCAATGTTTGGCAAACTGAGGCTCTGTGTTCATCCCCCGTCAGATCCTGTTTTGTCCAGTTATGGTCATTTCGTCGTCTAAAGCTCCAAATTATATAATCCGTTCATATTATGCATTTTGTGCCCAGCAAGTATGAGGAAATAACTGTGAGTGTGAAGCCTTTATCTTCCCTCCCTCATCTTTTTAATCTAAATGCTAAACTCTTCAGGCGTCCTCCGCTCATGCATGTTTGCGATCAAGCAAACGCCTTCTGTTGTGATCGGAAGTCTCTCTAATGCCTTTGCAAAGTTCTCACTCTATGCTGTTCTTACAGTACAGCTTGCTAAGCTCAGTTTTAATGACAACTAACTCATTTAAACCACAAGTCGACAGCATTTGGGAAGGTTTTTGCAGTACGATTGTTGCACCGAAGACAAACTAGCCAACTTTAAATGTTACCTCATCGGGAATAAGTTGTGTTTTGAACTAAAATGATGCCCCCATCACCACCTTGCACCTACTTAAACATCAATTATGCAACCACTGCCAGCAGATGTTGTGCCACAGCTCGTTTTCCCTCATACTTGATACACCTACTATAATTCATAAAAATGTTATTTTTTGTGATTCTAGAGGACAACTTTTTTATAATGTTAGACAGGATAAACGCGTTGTTGGCTGTTGGGAAATGTGGCACTTAAATTTACTTTTTAAAGACATTATGACAACTAATCACATCAGCCACTCCACATGTGGCACTAAAAACAAATGCAGGCGACCCAAGCTGTGTCTCACCAAGTACACAACAAGTCCTGCAGAAAATCCTGTGAATCCTTTCAACAACATGCTTCAAAAAATCTCTTGCATCAATTCACAGGGCTAGGAAGGACAGGCTCCTCGCAGGGAAAAGGTCATAAACAAGGCAAGTCGGCTCGGCCCTGCTTACTTCAAAGAGTTCAGCCCGACGGCGCCGACCATCGAGAGTTATTGTGCCAAACGGTCCCCAGAGCTCGCGCACAGTCTTTTTTATTGATTCTGATTGTGGAAAAAAAAAAGTACACTGGCACAGGAACTATGCAGCCCACAGATAACAGAGGGAAAGGGGGGTTGGGTGGATTTAGCCCAATGACGTGACTCATCCCCTGATTGTACAGCTTCCCAATGTCGCTTATTTATCGGTAGTCGAGATGCCCCATCTCCATGGCGATGTCTTTGCACAACAGATAAGTGGTAACCCTTACAAGTGTGGTGGTGGTCGTGGTTGAGGGGAAGGAGCGACTCCTGCTGTGGATCAGGCCAGGGCTGACTGCACGCGTGGCTCACATGGAGCCAGTTATGCAGCGGTGTTGGAGCAGTACAGGGTTAGACACATGATGCTGGAGGACCGGTCAAGAGGCCCATGCACTGGCAGCTTTCAGGGAAATGTCTCTGTCACAAAAGGGTCTCCTGCAAGTCAGTTGAGGGAATTAGTTGTGGATGGCGGAATTTTCTCTCATTGTCCACCGTGTCGTGTGTCATGACCTGTTCAAAGTAGACAGTTTTACTGGGACATGAGGGACACTTCGGGACATTTAGGCAATAAAGCCATTGGATTTTCTAAATAGCGGGTGAAAGTGGGTTACATTTAGGGTTTCATAGATGGCTGTTTTGGGTGAAAGTCTCCCATACAGCCTAAAAGGCTGGATCTGTCCCGGCGAGGACATAAGTCTCTGCTCCAATGAGACGTCACGTCGTTCTGTCACTCATCAGCTCTTTACACTCCACAGAAACTGCAACAACACGCATCACTCGCTACCCGATCCGCACATCCTGTCTGAACAGTTCAGGGCGACGCACCTGGAGTTAGGAAACCCCGAGGGAATCGTCAGGAGGAGACCTAGCTAACGTCAGTTTCTAGCAGCCGATGGACGCAACAGTCCTGCTTGGCTAATCAATGGAGCTAACAAACTAAAAGAGGTGAATTAGGATGCGATGCCAGGCAAGGTTTTTATTCCTGTTTGGTGCCAGTAAACCAGCTCCGTGCTGCTCTTGTATTTTTTTTTTGTGTCCACACACAGGATGTTGAGCTTCTAATGCATCACCGCGCCTTTTGTGTGCCAAATTGTCTGTTGACATACATTCAAAATTAATTTGACTCCGAAGAAGTGATGTAGCACTTCTCTGCTACGGCACACGCTCTAGTCATTCTAGTGGGCTAGGAGCAGAGCAGTAGTTAACGCAACTACACGACTGAGAGGAGGAGAAGATATCACAAAAAAAAAAAATGGATTGAAGGAGAAAGGAGGGGCCTCCCGCAGGACAATCACACAGAAGAGAGGCGGGCCGAGTGGTCGAGGGTGGCGAGCGGCAGAATAGTGGAATTGCGAGAGGCGGAGGCAGAGTGAGTGCTTAGAGATTGTGGGAGTAATCCCCATGGCCATCTGTTACTCCCCTCTCTGCCTCTCTCCCGCCTACACTGATCACATTCAACAAGACCGTAGATCTACAATGTCACTTCCTGTTCCCGTACTTCCCCACTCTATGCCTCACCTTCCTGCTGACCGTGTGCTTTATATGGAAGGTTCAGTTTCTTCAAAATGATCGGCAAACCTTTTTGCCACAGTTTTTGGGGGGATTATGTATGATGCATCTAACTAAGATCGTAAGTTAAAATAAGAATAAAATGTTTTAGTTGACAGGGGGTAACCAACTACGTCCAAGGTATCAATAGTTATGGTGGAAAGAGGGTGGAGAAATTTAGACTTTTAAATCAAACATTCAGAATAGACCTTTTTATTTTTTAATATGTCATTTCATGAGCTATGTAACTCAATGGTGCGTCTGATCCGATAGACTTTTCCCCCCACTAACGTTTTGACTTTAAAATAAGAGTCAGGAATCAGGAGAAAAAACTATCTGATAAATTGATTGCGAAGGGTTATACATATAATGTTAATGATAACATCTATAATGGCTCTGTGACGCCTTTAAAGCATGACAGTGTAGCAGTGAGCCAGTGTGCACGGCAACAGGACCGTGAAATGAGCAGTGGAGTTTAACTGACTGCTTGTTTTATTGTGTAGAAGGTAAACCTCATGGCTAGGAAACAATAATCAGAAGGGTGAGAGGGTATTTGTGCACGTCGCCCTGCTAAATGGCCTGTAAGGCCTTGGAGGCCCTGGAACAGAAGATGATAAGCATCAGTTTCCACTATTAAGGCCCTCTGGTTTATTGCCCTCCGCTCTGGGTCCCACAGTTGGACTGGGCCGTTTCTGGACTGAAAGGCTTCAGTGAAAAGCCCCCCAAAAACATCACACCACTGGTTTCCTTCCCGATGTGCACCGCTCCCTTTCCACTTCACAGTACAAGACAGGAAATAATGTGGAAGCAGTGACGAGTCCCTTAAATATTTATTTGCCCCTCCCCCGCCGCCCCCCCATTATACAGACACGTACATTTTTGGGGACTGAGCCGACTAAAGTTTTGAAAGATTATTATTATTCTTTCACCACTTCAATCACACTTTTGAGGCCTTTATCATATTCAAAAACTGTTGAAGTTTGGCATGCGCATCAGAGGTTCCGGGGTATAACAAAATGGCTCTCTAACAAAAAAGTAAATCATGGTATGCAATAGGCGCCGAACTTCATTTTCCGCCATTTTGAATGTTGTGAAAAACGTGTTTTTGCGAACTTCTCCCAGATGCTCGGTCTGATTTTCACGAAATTTTCAGGGAATGATTATTGAGTGAATGCCTTTTAACGTTTTTTGATATCCCCAAAAGGTTATGGACCAATGAATTTGTTAGGATTGTGGCCTAATAGTTAAAGACCTATAACTTCCAAAGTAAGCTGCAGTCATTCTCAGAATTTGTGCTTGTTTTTTTCCAATATCCATTGTATTTTTGATTCTTAAACAAACTAACTCCTCCGAGAGTTTTAACCCAATCAATTCCAAATTTGAGCAGAATGATCTTGACGCCTGTCTGGTCAAAATGTATCCAAATCAAGAGTTTTCGTCAAACTACCTGGGTGTGGCCTGGCATCCATTTTGGATCCAAGGAACATTCATATTTCTGTCTAATTCATGATGCTGGTGTAGCATTCAGAAAATTATAGCGCCACCTATTGTTTAAGGGAAATGAAAAAGCTTTACACTTTGATGAGCTTCTCCTAGCCATTTAATCTGATCAACCTCAACTTTGTGTAGATAAGCCTCAATACTATACTATATACAATACTCAGTTGGGAGTTTTTGAAAAACTTTGTTGGCGTGACAACATGGTCTTCGCATGAAATTTCAAGCCAATATTTCGGTGCCTTGGCAAACTCAAAAACTCTTAAAGTTATGTCAGTGTCCTAGGTGATGACATTACAGAGCTGAGCCACTTGATAAAAGCAGAGATCTGTGGCGTGACACTTGACCACAGCTCTGCTCTCTTCACGAAGCCACCCATGTCCTATAAGTTTAAATGCTGGTAACTTTGTTCTGCAGAGACACTTTCAGTGTGTTCAGTTCGCAAAATATATCTGCTAGACCTACTCAGTCAAAAAGGCGTGTAGTTCACAAGTTAATACTTAAGATGGGTGATTAGCTCCCGTTCTTTGCCTTGAATGAATGGAGGTGATCCTACATGTGTACTTATTGCAGGTTTGTACAGCAAGGCAAGTAGCCTGGCGATGAGGTGATCCGTTTAGGAAGCCACAGGCTTGGGTTTGAATCCCACACATGGCATTGATTTTTGCTGTCTTTTTTTTTTTTTTAATGTATTTTTGACCACGTGTCCGGCTGACCGCTGCCCCCCCGACATGCAAGGGAAGGCGAAGGGAAGTTCATTGCTGCTTGCATCTTTAATTTGGAATGTTTCTGTATAAATGGTAAAAAAACATCTGTTTTCAGAGCGAGTTCCAGGAAAACAAAAATACACTTGTGGTATCAAAGAGGAAGAGGGACCGGTACATGGAAATATGAAAGCTTCATTTGTGGCCGCATCATCCCGTCCTGTCCATCTGCCGCTGCAGGGCTTGGAGGCTTTAGGAGTTTATGTGCCTGAACACACATCCCGGGCCACAGCAATCACGATTAATCCCCTGCAAAGCGCTCCACCATCCAATAAACGTTATTGTGTGCATCAGGAGGCCAAAGAGGGTCTAAAAATACACCACAAGGCTGCTTTTCCCGCTTAAATATTTTAAAGGTTTTATGTCATGGTCGCGAAATATCTGTGCTTTACGTTTTTATCTTAATACCCATCTGACCTGGCCCACTTTTTTTCCATTGTTATATTTGTGGGGTTTTTTTTTACCAGCTGTTTTTTGTGATCTGTCTGGGCTTATGCTTCTTGATTTATATCCAAGTTGGAATTGAGCAATCAGATGAAAATGCTTTCCACTGCTGTGACCCAATGTGGTCCTCGCATGTATTATTACCTTATGTCATGTAAAAGCTCTCACCATTATAACTCGACAACAAACATTGTGATACACATGTGCTCTAATTTCCAAATGATTAGCCGACCCAAGCTGCCATGTTGCTCTTTGTCACAACGTGAATATTAACTGAACCATGTGAAGGAAATGCGACTGCTTGTGGACAAAGACTGTTATCAGCGACTCAGCATTTTCACAAAGCATTGCTGGAAGAATAGATCGCCTGTCAGGAGTGTAAGGACAGGAGTGTAGTTCTGGATGTATGTCCTCTTTTTAATAAATACAGTACCAGTCAAAAGTTTTTGTGTGGTTCCGCTGTGGCCTCAATGACACCAGATCGTGTCCACTTACTCACGTCCACACATGTTTAATACTGATTTGCCTAATCTTTGTCTTTTTCTGTTTTGTGTTACAGTGAAAAAAGCCAAGCTCCAGGGCCCCCCAGGTAAGAGCTGCTGTATCCATGTCCCCCGTGTTGTTTGCTGTAAAGCCATGTGTTAGGTGCGCTCCAATGCAGGTTCATCAGTCAAATTCTGTCAAGTTGGCTTGATTTGATTTTGCATTATGTAATCCGCCGCCCTGCTGCGGCTCGGCCGTGCTCAGGTGAGTTTAGATTGGTCGCTGCTAAATCCAAATCCCCTCGCTCTCCACCTCGGCAAATCCCTCGGGCGTTCAGCCTCGCCCCTGCCTCCCGGCGCTGTGACACGCCACTGCGGTGACATTTCACTTTCATTTCCTTTTGGAAAATGTTTGTTTTTATTAAGATATTGTCAGTCAGTCAGTTATTAAAAAATTATTATGTTCTCGTTTTTTGTTTTACTATTCTTTCCATATTGTGTTTATATGTTCAACTGGGTATGAGTGTATGTCGGTGTATGCATGTGTGTATACGAGGGTGTGTTTGTGTCTATATGTATTCGTGTAGATGTGCATATCTACGTATGGGTATGTGAGTTTATGTGTATGTATATTGATGATAATGGATGGTTGATTTTTAATGTATATCTGAAAATCAATAAAAAAACTGATCACAAAAAAAGCCTTCTCTGCCTGTCCCTGCCCCCCCCCCCCCCCTCCCTCTGGGCCACACCACATGTGACACCTGTCCCAGAGCAAACATAAGGGAGATTGAGTTAAGCCCGTCGTCTCCGGCTGGTGAAATGTAAACATCAGGCCGCTCTGGGACGGAGGAGGTTTTGTGGCCCCGTCTGGCACGACATCCACAATTCTGTTGTAATTAGTGCGTATGACTAGCCTGTCTGCGGCTGCTTTTGCAGCTTAAATTTATTTCCTATTTTAAATTTCATTAGTAAGTCAGAATTCAGAATTGGGGGGAGATGAAATCATTATGTGCTTCTGGTAGATATTAGGATACACTGTGTATGCTATGATTTATTTATTTATGTCTTCACGTAGATACAAACGAGTCATGTTATCCCCCATCTGTCATTAAACACTGGCAGAATTTGAAGTTTCTGTCTGACGTAACACAGTTCTCCACGTAGAACCAATTTGATTGTGCATTCTGTTACAGTATACACCCATATTGTAAATATAATATTACAATATTGACATTACTTTACCAAACACCAGCATCACAAACAAACCTCTATAAAAAAGTAGATAAAGTCAAAGTCAATGTCAGAAATACTGAAAATAGTTGATGATACAGATGATATTGAAATAGAACCTTAATATGAATTACATTATAAGAAGATAAAAGCCAAACTGTACAAAGCAGTTTTTTGCACACGTTGCACAGTCTTTGATCACACAGTTGTGAGGCTGCTTGAAAGCTGCCCTATCCTGCTTCTTCGGGGTCAGGCTGTACTAGTTACTACCGGTAACTAAACAGAAAAAGTATACTTATGATTCCTCTGACTCTGTGGGATTGGGCTGAAGAGGCCTCACAGTTGACACAGGGCCGGTCTGGGATGTGTGTTTGCCCTTCGCTTTCCACCACGTCTTCAGGTGGACATCTCGGAGGCCCTACGCTGAGCCCTTTCTCTAATGACGTGCATGTGTGGGGAAGCAAAGGGGCCCTTGGGTGGACTCTCCACTGATTGCCAGGGGGGAACAGGGGATTGATAAGGTGCCATGTGGATCTGTGTCAGATCTGTTTAGAACCAGCTTCTTCTTAATGTATACACGTCATATATCGTTCACATTATCGTCGCTCCGGAAGCCTTTCTTACCAAAGATGGTGAAACGTCTCCTTTTGGTTTATGCTTGTGTGTCACATACAATAAAGATGAGTGGTTTGGATGTGAAATGTCATCCTTCCAGCCGCCTGCGTTTCTTTGATTCAAATTCCTTGAAAAAACTCATCACTCAATAATGGATGAAGACGCTCGGCCGAGGGCTCAGCAGAGAGTGGGTCGTCCGCAAAGGACATGCCCAGCGCAAGAGGGGCCACATCATCGCACATCTCTGCCTCTTTACGAAACACACGAGGGACCAAAGTGACTGCATAACAGTTGTTGTGTGTGTGCTTGAGCAAGGTGTGTGTCGCAACACATGACATTGATGGTTATTAATGATCATGTTATTGTCAGTTATAAGTCACTATTGCATTATCAATGACATGTCCGCAGATAGTTAGGAAGTCGTACTGATTCATGTTTGAGAACATTTTTCAACGTTGCTATGACGATACGTCAAGAACTGGAAGTGTTCGTATGTGATATTCACAATCCAAGTGATGTCAGTCTGGTTAGCTTAACGCACAGTTTGTCAAAAGTTTACATACACTTCTAAAGAACATAATGTCATGGCTCTTTTGAGTTTCCAGTTATTTCTACAACTCTTGTATTTTCTACAAGATTTTTCTCTGATAGAGTGTTTGGAACAGATACTTTGTCACAAAAAACATTTGTTAACCCATAATAAAGAACCAATCTGCTGGGTTAAAAAAATACATACAGCAGTGCTAAAATTTGGTTACATGTCCCTTGGCCATTTTCACTTCAATTAGGCGCTTTTGGTAGCCATCCACAAGCTTCTCGTTGAATCTTTGACCACTCCTCTTGACAGAATTGGTGCAGTTCAGTTAAATTTGATGGCTTTCTGACATGGACTTGTTTCTTTAGCATTGTCCACAGGACTTTGGGAAGGCCATTCTAAAACCCTAATTCTAACCTGATTTAGCCATTCTATTAACACTTTTGATGTCTGTTTGGGGTAGTTGTCCTGTTGGAACACCCAACTGCACCCAAGACCCAATCTTCGGGCTGACGATTTTTGCTTATCTTGAAACATTTGAGGGTAATCCTCCTTCGTTTTTGATAAAATGTCCCAATTTCAAGTTTAGGTTGTGTTTTCTGGTGGAAGAGTTTCCCTCTCGATGTGTTTGAGCAGGCTCAGAAAGCTGAAAAGGGGATGATTAGGACTCATGTTCTTCTGGCAGTGATAAACAATGTGATTTTGGTGATTGTTTAAAGAAAAGTTTCCTTCCTCCAGGCGTGTTTAAGGGGTTCCGAGGGTTTTTGTGATTTTTGCCAGACAGACCCAGTCTGTGTATACTGAGTTTCTTTAATTATTATTTACTTATTGGTGCTTTCTCCTCAACAGTGGCACATTGTGTGAAGCACCTGCTGTAAAGGGAGCGCGGCCGCTAAGTGGCTCTCATCTAATCCATACATCCTCCTCCCTTATCTCCTCTAATCACGGGAGCCGGCCCAAATGTGGCACAAGGCATGGTCTATCTAATTAAGGAAAAGGCTTGAGCATCCCTCAGGCTCCTTTGTAGTATAGCTTGCCCCCCCCAGACACTATTTAGTTCTGTCTCTTTTCAGTCAGGAGGCTTTTAGCAGCGGCAACGGACAATGATTTTCGGTAGGATGGGTCACTGGGGGGCTTTCCACCTGTGTTTATGTTTTAAGGGACTTATTGAATCTTTATTTATGCTGCATGTCGCCGGAAACCGCCTGTGTCAATTGTCGATAGTTGTCATTGTCTCAGGAGTTGTGTTATCTGGCTGCTGCCTTATTAAAGGCTATGTGCAGAGTAAATGTTTCAATACGTTGCCGCAGTAACCCGGAGAAAAATCTTTGTTTAGTGTTGTCAGGTGATCCGTCAAAGGAGCAGCTGATGCCTTGCTTTTATTTCCCAGGGACTGTGTGTGTGTGTGTGTGTGTGTTTTTAAGTGTGTGTGTGTGTGTGTTGATAATTGGATTGATTTATTGTTAGCATTTGGACTGTAAAGCTGACATATTTTGTTTTGGCTTTACAGTTCCCCCTCCCCTATATGATTGTAGTAAAACACTTAAGTCCATCCTAAGCCTTTTTAGGAGCAGTGCTGAGCTACTTTGAATGCCCGATCCGTCAACCTTGTGACTGAAGGAGGTCCCGTTCTGTCCCCCAAGCCAGGGCGACCTATAACCGCTTCTCTTTGTGCATTTCTCTACAATAAATCAGACCTTTTATTACGAATGATAATGTTTAAATTAGGGCTGTCAACATAAACGCATTAATCTACGCGATGTGGCCAAGATTAATGCAACAAAATATTTTAACGTAGTTCACGTACGTTTGTTTACTTCCGGAAGTTGACCGTGAAAACTAATCGACCGCTCGCTGCAGTCAGTTACATCGGAGAAAGCAAGACAGTAGCTGAAGATGGAGAGAGCTTAATTTTGTAAAACAAACAGAGGCGCAACATACAGCGGAGAACTGTGCAAAGGAATTCCTCCGTGTGTGAAACAGAAGGGGGGTGAGTGGCAAACACACCACTTAAAGCACTGCTATGCTAAGCTAGCTGCCAGGCTAAGCTAGCTAGAAGAGTTGCTAGTCCAACATGTTCCACCAGGTGGGATTTTGCCTCCAAGATGATCAAATGTGTGTAGATTTGTGTTTAAAATAACATTAACAATTAAACAACAGTGTCTAAAATACAATGTGCGATCTATTGAACGCCCTAGTTTAAATGTGTTGACCTATTGATTCGTCATTTCCTTTTGTAACCTCTAAAATTGTCTTGTGTTCCAAAGGTTGTTCACCATAGATAGACTAGGTGGGTAGACTTGCCAACTAGTGTGTCCGCTGGTGCGAGAGCCATGTGCGTGCATAGACGGACATACAAAAGTGGCACAGATTGTCCAACTCCTCCAGGATGGCACATCCACGCGTGCCGTTGCAAGGAGATGTGATGCGTCTCCAGCACAATCTCCAGAACATGGAGGAGATTCAAGGAG